AATACCAGTTTTGGATGAATGCTGGAAGTAAGTTAGGAATAACAGGGAAAAATTTAGAATCTTTCATTAGTGCTAAGATCCAGGAAAGAATTGAAAGAGAGAGAATTGAGAGAGAAGAAAGACAGAATGGGAAAGACAAGAGGAAAAGGAGAGAGAGAGTGAATCGAAAGAGAAAACCAAGATAGACAGTTAGAAAGAGAGAGAGAAGACAAAAAGGAGCGTGATAGACTTGATCATGAGGAGAGAGCTAGAGTATGTGAGGAACAAGCTAAAGTACATGAGGAACAAGTTAAATTAAGAGAACTTGAGGAAAGAGCATAGGATAGAGAAGTTGCGGAAAAAGGTAGAGAACGTGAGGAAAGAGCTAGAGAACTTGAGTTAAGAGAGAGAGAAAAAATCGTGAGCTCAAAAAAGCTCGCCTTGAATTAGAGAATAAAAAGTCAACTTTTACACAACAACAATTAGAGGAAAGAGTTTAAGATTGAAAGAGTAATTGAACATCATGCAGCTAGGGCACATATTCCAACACCTAATTTACCTCCCTTCACAGAGGGTGAAGACATTACTTCATACATTATCAGGTTTGAAAATACCACTACCCTCTGTGAATGGCCTGCTGACACCTGGGCTACCTGGTTAGGAATGTTATTTTCTGGTACAGCTTTGAATATCTATGCAACTTTGTCGAAGGATATCATATGTAATTATAGCCTACTGAAGAAGGCAATCCTTAAAGCATATCAAAAAACCACAAATTCTTACAGGAAAGATTTCAGGTATGCCACCTTACAGCCTGGCCAAAACTTTCAGCAGTTACAAGTAACACTCTTTCGTTTGTTCGACTTTTGGATAGAGAGTTCAGGAATTGAACACAGTTATGAATCTCTTAGAGACTTCATGGTTGCTGACCAGTTCCTGACAGCTCTTCCTCACCAGATAAGAACATTCATTAGAGAACGTAACCTGATTAAAGCTGATGAAGTTGCTGAGGCTGCTGACTTGTATGCTGAGGCTCACGATTCCTATAAAGACCTAAAGGGATCGAACCTTAAGGGCAATGGTTCACCTGAACCAAAGATTAAGAAGCCTACAGTAGAAGCAAAGTCACCAGCTATTATACCAACATGTCATCGGTGTGGTGGTATCGGACATAAACGTCCAGATTGTCCTTCCAAGAAAATAAGAAAGTTGGTAGATGTTTTGTTGACGGTAATGACCAAGCACCCTTCTGTTCAGGAGCAGTTAATGGTATAAAAGTCTCAGACATATTACGTGACACTGGATGTACGTGCATCATAATTTCGGACAAACTGTTCCCTTACTTTAAAACCTCTCGTGTGTCCTCTATTCTTTCAGATTACTTGGGTCGTGAAAATGCTTTCCCTACAATACGTTGTTACTTGAAAACTAAATAGTTCACCGGTTGGACTAATGCGGTACTAGCCCCAATTACTTGTTCTATAATAGTGGGTAACATTTCAAGGCAGGCGAAATTGCAGATTTTGAGAATGTAGAGATAACTTTCATGGCATGTATAAATACGATAAAGCACCTAAATTACTGGGAACGGTTGAAATCCCTTGATTTGAATCCCCTGTAATGTAGGAGAGAAAGATACATGATAATATACACTTGGTAAATCCTAGAGGGACTAGCTCCAAATCTGCACACGAAAATCACTCCCTACGAAAGTAAAAGACTCGGCAGGAGATATAATATCCCCCCAGTGAAAAGCAGAGGCGCCACGAGTATGCAAAGAGACAATACAGTAAGTGTCAGGGGCCCAAGACTGTTCATCTGCTTTCCAGCACACATAATTAGGATTACCATGGTGTAATAGGCGCTGGACAAGCACCTAAAGTCAGTACTTGACCAACCGGGCTGTGGATCGTATGTCGGTTTGCGTGCAACCAGCAGTAACAGCCTGGTTGATCAAGCCCTGATCCACCACGAGGCCTGGTCGCGGGCCGGGCCGCGGGGACATTGACCCCTAAAACCCCCTCCAGGTATACTCCAGGACCAGGAAGCTTACAACACTTAGGGGGGAGGCAAACTGAGGATTTTTTGCTAAATTACTCCAATTTCAATGAAATTTTTATAAGTTAAAAATTCGTATAAACGTCTATACTGGAAGTTCTCTGAAATTTACCTTAAAATAGAGAAAAATATAATAATTCTGTTTTTGATATAACAAGACTCTAGTAGTGTGTTAGCAACCTTAGTAAGATGTTAAATGTTATAGTTAACTTTACCTGATTAATAAAAAGGCTAAAGAAGAATCAACAAATAGGATATGACTCATATAAGAATATAAGAATTGTTGAATTTTATGAATTTTTTTTTTTAAGAAATCTTTTGGTAACAAAATAAAAAAAAAAACGTTGGTACTTTGCAAAAATCATAATATTTTCACAAATAATTAAAAGGACGATACCAGAAGGAGAATAACTTCTGAGAAAAATATCAAAATATTATCTGTAAAAATATATGGATGTAAAACTTGATGATTCAGGAGGAGGAGCTACGTGCAACATTAAGATCAGAAGAGTAAGTGAAGCACAGACTGTCGTAGCTGTCTCGTAGCTGTAGAAAACATGACATATAATGTACTTTCTAAAAACTGACACAAAAGTAATAATCGAAAAAAAAAGAAAAAATATATAATACAACATGGCATTGTGTCCTTTCGATGAGGTCATCGAACATAATTAAAACTGATATAAAAATCTTAGAAAAATGGTATGAGCAGATAAACTGCACTAAAAGGTGGCCAGATTTACGTATTCATTTGTAGTAAGAAAAAGTTTTTCTTGTTTTTCGATTTTTTATTTTTTTTTCTCTCGCTAAACCTGCCTCACCTTTGCCCTTTGACGTATCTCACATCTGCTTGACAGCAGAGGCTGCAAGATCCTGTACCAGACACAAGTACGCTCACACCCTGACAATGTTCCACCTTTTTGGATTGCCTGCCCTGTCTCATCTGCGCTATTCTTGACAAAATAAAGCATAGAGAGAGAGAGAAGAGAGACAAGACAACGATAGAGAGATAGAAGTGGGGAGGGAAACAGCAACTACACTCTGGCAGTACCCTTCTCAAGAACATCACTTCATTTGGGACTCGAGTCTAGAGCACATTCGTACAGCATTATGATGTCAACGAGATAAAACCAGTTGATCAAATGAAAATGTCGGCCCACAGATGGTTCCAACTTCATCCTGTTCTCTACTTGTATGCTTCACAACAATAACAATGCTTTCAAATGAGCTGATGTAGGTAACAGCTCTTACCTTGGCAATAAAGCTAGAGATTCTTATCCTAACCATGTCAAAATCTGTGCAAAAAAAGGGTGGGGAGAAAAGGAGAGAGAGAGAGAGAGAGAGACTTGAACACAGGAGGGATGTGGGTGGCCTTACTGTTATGTACAAGGCCAATATTGTCAAAGTACCACACTTGGATCCACTTCGAGGACAGCGTGAAACAAGCTTTTATGCCACAAGACGGGCAGAAAGTAGCAACTTCACTCTGGCTGTACCCTTCTCCAGGACATCACTCCATCTGAGATCATATATACCCAGGATGACTCGAGTATGGAACACATTCGTACAGCATAATGATGTCAACGAGATAAAGTCAGTTGATCAAATGAAAATGCTGGCCCACAGATGGCTCCAATTTCATCCTGTTCCCTACTTGTATGTCTCATAGCAATAAAATTGCTTTCAAATGAGCTGATGTAGGTAACAGCTCTTAGCTTGCCAATAAAGTTAGGAATCCTTAACCTGTAAATAGCTTGTCAATAAAGCTAGGGATCCTTAACCTTGTCACACCCTGTGTAAAAAAAATAAAGAGAGAGAGAGAGAGAGACAGACAGACAGACAGACAGATGTACGGAAAGGGAAAGAAAGGGATTTGGCCAGAGAGGGACCCATCTCCCTATGAGTATTGTATATTTTTCTTTTATCTCAATAAAAAATATAAATAAAATACAAAATTCTGCTGCTGGTGAATACCTCAGAGAATATAACATGGGTGACTATTGATAAATATGTTGAGAGTTCTTAACACTGAGTTAGTAATAAGTACTCATCTCATTCCTGAGTTGGTCATCACCTGTAAACACGAATTTCCGTATTAATTTTCCTCACTCCAGTTGCTTCTTTTATGTGTCCATATACAGGTAAAAAGGTATTACACTGAGGAATTTATCTGACCATTTTATACTGTTGCAATTTATTAGGCCGGTAAGTATTACTTTGTAACCAAAACCTGCCATTGTAATTTTTATCTTTTCACTTTTTCACTTCTCATATTTTGCAGGTTATCATTTATCTTGACAGAATCTCTTAATAGTGGCTTCTAAAAATTTTCTATTATGAGCTCCTTGTCTGATTTAAAAAATTTAGTTTTGCTCGTTTCTGTGTTGCTTTTACCAATATGGTACACCTTTCTCTTTTTTTCTTCCTGCCTCTTCTCCAAACTAAGTAGTTTACCTCAACTACAGCCTCATTTAGAATGACTTAAGCACAGTTTGAATAGGAAGCGATATTTTATTGATAAAATGTGTTTGTTACAGGTTTTAAATAAAAATGACGTTATATTCTTGAAATTTCAAGTCTTCAGTCATTTCTTCCCATCGTTAAAAATATACACATTCACTATAAGTCTTTCCCTGGATGGCTTGACAAAAGTATGGTGATAATATACGTCAAAATAAACCTCAGAACTACATCCCCGCCCATCCTGAGTGAAGACACTCGACTTTTCACCTACAGAATACAAATTTGGCTAATTAGTTTTTCCGAATCCCTTCATTAAATGTTACCTTAGTCAAATCCCAAAACCATGTGTCACAAACTAGATACTGAAGACCACTTAAAACCTTGATACCATCCTTCAAAAATTATAAGATGCAATAATGAAATTAATTACAAAAACAAAACATATTAACACATTAAGATATGCCAGACCCAAGGCAACAGTACCTAATACACTATCATACCTGCATTATGAACTGTGGCTTATCTCTGTGGGCAAGTGGAGCTCTTAGAGCTGACATGAGTTCCGTCAAGGATGCTTCATTCACCATTGTTAATATCACATGAAATTTGCTCTTACTTTTATCACCTTTTTCTTTCAGCTCCACCTGTAAGTAAAAATAATATACATGTATATAACAACTAATATTCGCTTGTATCTCTACCTTATATGTCATTGCACATAAACCCAACAAATATATAATATATATATATATATATATATATATATATTATATATATATATATATATATATATATATATATATATATATATATATATATATATGTCGTGCCGAATAGGCAGAACTTGCGATCTTGGCTTAAATAGCAACGCTCATCTTGCCATATAGGACAAGCGAAAATTTGTATATGCAATAATTTCGCCAAAATCATTCTGAACCTAGCGAGAAAAATATATTTCACTGTGTTCGTTTAATATTAAATTATTGTAAACAAATCTAAAATATATTTAGTTGGGTTAGACTAAAATAAATTGTTCTTGTTATAATAAGGTTAGGTAAGTTTTCTAAGATTCGTTTGGAGCAAAATTAAAAATTTTTACATTAACATTAATGAAAAAATATATCTATAAACGTATAAGAGAAAATTTTAGAAAGAACTTAATTTTAAATGAGTTCTTGCTAATTGATCAGTTTTACATATTCGGCACGACATATATATATATATATATATATATATATATATATATTATATATATAATATATATATATATATATATATATATATATTATATATATATATATATATTTATATATATAAATATTATATGTATATATATATATATATATATATATATATATATATATGTTATGTATATATATATATATATATATATATATATATATATATATATATATATATACATATATATATGAGTGATATTGATCAATAACAAATAACAACATTGTGAATAGCCAAGGAGTCGAACCCATGCTGTTTTGGCCCGTCTCATGGTGAGCGAAAATCACATGACGCTTTAACCTACAGGTCCACCAAATCCTACAAGAACCAAGCACCCAACCAAGCTAGGTGTGTTACCCTTGGTCCGAGGACATACGGTGGTGTGAGTGCCTCTGAGCTAATTTCATTCTACTCTAGTCCACGGGACAACACAATTCTCAAGAACGACACATCCAGCCAAGCTAGATGTTGTACCCATCATCCGAGAAGATACGGTGGTGTGGATGCTTCTGAGCATCCCTTTTTGGTGTACTAGCACAACGAACAGTATTTTATGAGGAAGGCCGAAGCAGAATGGTTTCGACTCCTTCCCTAATCGCAGTGTTGTTATTGATCAATACCACTCGTTCGTGGTTACAATAATATAAAATACTGCCCCTTGTGCTAGTACACCAAACAGAGAGTAGAATGAAATTAGCTCAGAGGCATCCACACCACTGTGTTCTCGGAAGATGGGTACAACATCTAGCTTGGCTGGATACATCATTCTTGAGAATTGTGTGGTACTGTGGACTAGAGTCTCGTCTGTCTTTTGTAGACTGTAAGCCTAGCTCCCATAGCTTCCCACCAGAGGGTAGGCCTCTCAGTGGGCATGCCACTTTAACCCGCGTCACCTTGCTCCTCTCTCACTTTGCGCAGAGGCATCCTAGAGTCAACAAGGCGTACTCCTCTCTCCCTCGCGGGCATGGCCCCCCACCCGGGGCAGGGCAACACACTGCCTGTGTACCCACGATCTCGCAAATAAAGAAAGGAGCCTCCGAAGCCTTTATCATTGCTCCTCGCTTTGCAACAAACGACGACACCAATAAACTGTAAACACTTTCGCTCACCATGAGCGTGTTGTTTTGTTATATATATATATATATATATATATATATATAATATATATATATATATATATATATATATATATATATATATATATATATATATATATATATATATATATATATAATATTATTATTATTATTATTATTATTATCACACTGGCCGATTCCCACCAAGGCAGGGTGGCCTGAAAAAGAAAAACTTTCACCATCATTCACTCCATCACTGTCTTGCCAGAAGGGTGCTTTACACTACAGTTTTTAAACTGCAACATTAACACCCCTCCTTCAGAGTGCAGGCACTGTACTTCCCATCTCCAGGACTCAAGTCCGGCCTGCCGGTTTCCCTGAACCCCTTCATAAATGTTACTTTGCTCACACTCCAACAGCATGTCAAGTATTAAAAACCATTTGTCTCCATTCACTCCTATCAAACACGCTCACGCATGCCTGCTGGAAGTCCAAGCCCCTCGCACACAAAACCTCCTTTACCCCCTCCCTCCAACCTTTCCTAATACATGATATAACACATGAAAGGTTAATGGGTAGATTTCATAATATGCGTGTTTACAGAGGGGCAACAGATACATCAGATCATTATTTATATGTAACTACAGTCAGAGCAAGAGGTAGATGGGGCAAAAGGAAAATGGCAACAGCAAGTAAGGGAGGAGAAAGTTAGAGTGCGATATAAGCAACAGTTATGACAAAGGTGGGCAATGAGAGTGTAGGTAGTGCGGAAGTTGAAGAGAGGTGAGCCAGTGTTAAACATGCGGTGTTAGAATGCGGAACAGAAGTTTGTGGATATAGAAGAGTGGATGTGGGAGGAAAGAGGAGTGAGTCGTGGAATGATTAGGCAAAGGATGCGTTAAAGGAGGAAAAGTTTGCTTACTAGATGTATTTATAAAGCAGAAGTGATATAAGAAGGGTAGAGTATATGGAGAGTAAAAGAGAGGCGAAGAGAGTGGTGAGGGGGTCGCAAAAGGAGAGCAGATGTTAGAGTGAGTGAGGTACTGTCATCAAATTTTGCTGACAATAAGAAAAAGTGAAATAACCAGGTTAAGAAAACCTGGAAAACAAGTGGATTTGACAGTTCAAAACAGAATACGGGAATTAGTAATTGGGGAGTTGGAGGTATTTGGAAAAAGGCGGGAATATTTTGAGGAACTGTTAAATGTTGATGAAGAGAGAGGCAGGCAGTGATTTCATGCATTGATCATGAAGGTATAACATCTTCAGGTGTGAAGAAGTGCCGGATATTCTAGCGAGACTGTGTTCTGTGACAGTGAGCACAATGGCTCCAGTTATGACTACCCCCTTCCCCCCGCGACCAAAGGCTCCAGAGGATAAGGGACTAAACTACTCTGCTTGAAATGTTGTGGGGAACACTTCGCCGAGGACTGCAACGTTCAACTCAATGAGTGTCATGTCTGTCAGAAGGGCAACATCATAGCACACTGTGAACTAATGATTCAAGGCAAGCCCAGGCCAACGGGGGCACAGATCAGAAAAGGGTGCCCCGTGGCCTGGTGGCAAAAGCTCTCGCTTCACACGGTGAGGGTCCAGGTTCAATTCTCGGTAAAGGCGTGGAAACACTGGACGTGTTTCCTTACAACGGTTGTCTATGTTCACCCATCAGTAAAATGGGTACTTGGGTTTTAGTCGACTGGTGTGAGTCGCATCCTGGGACAAAATTGACCTAATTTGCCCGAAATGCTCTGCATAAGGGGCTTTCTATATAGTAGTATGTCACTAATGTCAGCTAGGCCTGTATACCCTGTACATGTACTTGTAGTAAATGAAGATATTGTTATTATTTTTAGTTTTATTATTATTAGTATTATTAAGTCCAAGACTGTGGCAGTAGCCAAATGGGAGATTCCAGGGTTCTGCTGCTTTGGGTACCGTCTTGGCAGTGGTTGTAAACAGGAAGAGATCTGAAACAATCCGACTGTTTTCGATCCTGGGGCACAAAGTTCCTTAATAACAGAGATGCCGGCAGCTAAGTTGAAATTAAGAACTGTCAGCAAGGTTGGCATGACACTGGAAGAGTATGGAGGCCCGGACCCGCCCAGGTCTTATCAGATTGTAGATGTCGCTGTCAAATTGGGCAAACATCGCAGACACGTCACGGCCTTGATAGTGAAGAGTTTACCTGAGGTAATTACCGCCAAAGGTCTGGCTGCAGCGGTCTAGCATTTGAAGGAGCTAGGCTTGAAGCTGACAGAGCCAGATATTACATGCACAGTTAGGGATGTGGGTATTTTGGTGGGGGCAGACTACATGGATGAATTTGTGCCCACGAAATGGACTATCAAGGAGAGTATTGGCCCGTACAAAACACCTGGGAGAGAGGGGTCCGGCTCTACGGCAACTGAGGCTGTGTTAGTGATGCGCCTCGGACTCCTTAAAGATCCATAAGAGACACAGGTTTCCGCAACCAATGGGGAGCCAGTACACAAATTGTGGGATTTAGATGTGGTATGGATTAGGGGGGATCAACTGCCTTCCCCCCCAAACACGGAGAGATCTATCAGGATTATTTGAACCACGTGCAGTTTACAAACGGTCAGAACTGGGTATGGCTGCCTTGGAAACTAGTGCACTCAGTGTTTCCCACTAATTTTAGGAAGGCACGAGGTCAGCTGAATTCACTGGTGAACAACCTGTCCAAGAAAGAGCTCATTGGGAAATAAGAAGGTATTGTTAAGGAACAGATGGCTCTCAGATTCACCCTATGCCAGTCCTGGAGAAAACACCTATTATCTGCCTCACATGGCAACTGCCAAGGAGTCAGTGACTACTCCCATAACAGTCGTCTTCAACTGCAGTTCACAGGCTAGTCCGAGAGAGCCAGCACTGAACGATTGTCTGTTCATAGGACCGTACCTGACGTCTATTCATAGGAACGTCTCTGACGTTACTTAAGTTCAGGGCGGAGCAGTATGCTTACGCTGACTGGGCTGCAGGCTCATGACAAGGATTACAGTTCTTGTGGTTGGCAAACGCCGAGATGCCTCAGCAGGGGTACGAGACTTATAGATTCAAGGCTGTCTTATTTGGCACTACCAGCTCACCGTTCTTTCTTCAAGCTACCATCGACTACCACCTGGCTTACTGTGACAGTTCCCTTAAAGAATTACTAAAGACGTTATTTTATGTAGACAATATACAGGGTAGTACTTCAGACCAGAGACTATTAGTGAATTTTTACTGCGATTCTAATCGAAAGATACTCTCAGCTAACATACCATTGAGAAAATAGGCGACGAACAATCCCACGTTGCTAGGCATGGTGA